AAAATAACAGAAATTCATATTGTTGGATAAAATAACATAATGAATGTGATCGTAAAGAAAATGATTTTATTATAATTGGTTCTTCAGGATCTTAAATCTAAAATGAAATTCGATTGGAATTGTATTTAAGAATTTTAATATGTCTGATTTGATCAAGATCTAAAGAGATTTGAAAGAAAGTTTTCAAGTTTAGGTTTAGTCTATGGTCTTATATTGATTATTACGGTGTGCGGGTAATAGTGGAATCTTGGAATTTCATCATAGTATTCTCTTCCACCTCGTTACTGTAATCAGCCCCATTGTATATCTATAGTAACGAAAAAATAGCAGGATATGCAAATTCCCTTCTGATATCACGTTGATATATCAAACAATTTTATCAGAAAATAGATAATCGGAATATTTAGCAGCTAAATTCATATATCATTAAACGGTGAGATCGATTCCATTTTCAGAAAAACTTTTCTTAGATTTAATAGATCAATTAACTTTTCATTTCTGACGGTGTTGATTACGAGTATGGTTTATGCCTATTATAGTGGCGGTGGTCAGAATATCGACGTGCAGAATGTCGATGCTCAGAATGTCGATGCTCAGAATGTCGATGCTCAGAATCTCGATAATCTGAATATCGCCTTTCGGAATGCCTGTCTCTATCTCGATAATCTGAATGTCGACTTTCGGAATGTCTGTTCCTATCTCGATAATGCGAATATCTATCGCCGCCAACTTGGTGTCCAGAAATGTGATGAGCTGCATCAGTGGCTTCCGGGTTATACTGCGAATTATAACCTTTTGTTTCTTCACTATTACTAGTAACGTTTGGATTTAAAAGTTGTCGAACTTTTAAGCGTTCTTGGCGCTCTCTTTGTATTCGCTCGGCACGAAGCAACTCTATTTTTTTCATTGGATCATCTAACAATTCAGAAGCGGATGAAGACGATTCAATCCTCTAGTAAATAAATGAATGTGAGTTAAATGTTAGCATGTTCATGTAAGTATAAAATTTTAATATATATTCCAATGCAGAAAAATAATATCACTTCTTTACCTTTACAATAGAATAAGTTTTTTTTAAATCCTTAATAGTTTTTTTATTTTGAGATTTCTTGTCGATAAGATGATTAATTGAAGTCAAAGGATCATTGCGCAATTTAAGTTTATCTTCCTTAGATCTTTTGATAAAATTATACGATTAATTAGATTAAAAAATTATATAAATCTAGATAAAAGTACATACTTTTTCAATTTTTCTTTTTCCTCTTCTAGTATTCGTGCATCTGATGATGATAATGAACCGTACCATGGTTTTAAATCTAAGGCAATAAAATTCTGTGTCAATTGATTACTTTTTTCATTAAAAAACGTTTCGATTAATAATTAATTTTTAAATCCCTTTAAATTGAAGTATTAATGAATTATATACCTTTAGAAACATCGTCAAGGTACATGGTAATTGTCCTTTCCCATTTATCTTCCTTGGCCTTCTTTTCAGCTTCATACTCAGGATTAGCCGATACTTTTTGCTTCAAACTCTGTTATAAAAGAGCTTAAATAAATAAAGTTATCAAAAAAAAAAAGACTAAACTTTGATAACACACACATTTTCTTCCAGCTCCGCCCAAAAATTGATATGCCCTTCCGGATTACTGTTACTTTTTGATATTATCGCAGTTTCTTCCACTTGTTTCTGATCAACAACATTTTTCACAATTGAAGATAGAGATGTTTCAGCTGAAGAAAACGTGATCAGTGACTTCTCTGTCAATAAGCCAGGTGGATTGTTATTATCTATTGCTGTTGTAGTAGTCTCTGATGTATTTACTCCTTCATTTCTTTGTTTAGCACGTTGCCTAAGGAGATTAAGCCGATGTTCTCGCTCCTAAAAATGAAAAATTAAAAGTTAACCACTAACTTGCCAATGTCATTATGTATGCTATTTGACGAACATGCTTACAGCTAAGAGTGCTCTCTCAGTCTTAGCCTCATTCTCTTGTCTTGCTTTTTCTTCATCTCTTCTAACTTTTTCTCGATTCTTTAGATTATATACGTGATAACTATTTTACATTGTACTGAACGTTATTACTACTTAAAAACAAATGAGATTCGCGAAAAAATTTCATAAATAACAAACCTCTTATGCGGTAAAATGTTCATAACTGAGAAATTGTTTTTCCGTTTCTGGTTCAAAGTAATTTTAACACGTATTTTTTCTATTACTGGGTATTTGTATATAACCAATGCATTTTCCGAAAATAGTAAATAGTCAAATATGAAGTATATTACGTATTACATTGCATAGGCCAAATTCAAGAAATACATAAGACCAACATCAAAAAAATATCTATAGGAATTTCGTCTCATTCGTTAAATATAAACTATAGTATTATTTAAATTTCTAACAAAACAAAATTAATCTAAACTTTTATTTCACACATGCATTATAATATAATAATCTATACAGATGCGCACACAGAAAAAACCCTACCTTTTCACAACTAACCTGAAAAGATGTATTATTATTCAACTGCTAATTGGAAATAATTATTATGAGAAACAATAATAGGAAGGGTGGATGGAATGGGGGTTTTAAATTGGAATGGATGGATGTGATGATGTTTGTGGAGAATTATAATGAGGATGATGACACATACACGTTTCAAATAATATATAAAAAGTACAAACCCCAGCAAGTACGTTGAAGGATGGATATCAGACATGTGGTTTAGTGTACTAGTAAAGATGATGCCCTCCTCCCATTAATTTTTTTTGCATCCCGGATAAATTATAATTGATGATGATGATGATGATGGCGACGATGACGACGATATTATCCCAAAGAAAAGACTTTTGGCTCTTACCACATTTATTTTTCTTACCAGATATTTTTGTCCAATTAAAGTCTTTTAAAAGATAAAGATGATGATGATGATGATGATATCTAAGGATAGTAATGGCAGTAGCAGATAGTGTAATAGAGGTAGGTACTCTCCCGTTCACAATTTCCGTTAAATTGCAATTCTTATTCCTAAAAAGAACAAACCACCCATCATATACATCACGAAACCCTCCCTTTAAGATTTGCAATACGTGATTCGACAGAGAGATCGAGAGCATGCACCTGAGTTTTGATATCTTCTTCACTATATCGATATTTTTCGAGGGCAGCGCGTTTTTCTTCCTGTAAAATATAATTTTGGTATATATAATTTAATTGTAGTAGTATTTCGTCAACATAAGAACAAAAAAAATACTTACGGGGGAAACCTCGTTATCACTATATACAAGAACAGTAGATATCGGTTTTTTAGAGCCATTAAATGATTGTTCTGCTATATTTTCAGAAGCAGCTGAAGGAGTTAATCCGGAGCCTCCAACATGTTGTGATTGATATTGTGTTAAAGTAGAACCAGAGGAACCACTAAATAGATTATAATTATCATTGGATGTAATAGGTAAATGCGAAGATATTGGATAAACTTGCGATTGCGGATTTGCTGTCGGTATTATTGGTCTAGAAGGAAATTGTGGCCCAGAAAAAGCTGGGTTGACTGTCGATGTAAAAGGTGACGGAGTGCTATAAGGTGTCGGTCCTGATAATGTAGAGACACCGGCAACGGGAGGACGCCAAAGAGAAGGTTGGCCTGTTGCGGAAGCTTGGCCAGGTATTGCACTATATTTATTATAATTAATAAATCACCAGATCATTGTAAATTATATTAATGAGAAAAGTTTCGACTTGATTAAGAAAAAAAAAATACCTTTGTTGGAAAGATTGACTCGAGGTTACTACAGGTCTCTGGTAGAATGAACTATATTGATGCGGCATTAGTGATGGCATTTGTGAAGAATTATAGCCGGAGTAAGAATATGGAATACTCGAAGGAGTACTCTGCATCATCGCTTGATGCTGCGCAAGTTGTTTTTGTATTTCTTCATGTGATAATTCATCATCGTCTGCTTTTTGTTTTTTATGACCACGATTATCACCCTCTAACGCTTCCTGATGAGCTATTAAATCAGCCGGAGGGATTCCTTCCATACCAAAGATTTCCACGTCGGCTGATTCTCTACCTTGTAACGCATTTGGCACTCTAGAAACATTAAGTAACCAAAAAAAAACCATGAGTTTATTGATTTCATATGTTGAAGGTCACTTTATAAACTAGCCTGATAAACTTCAATATTCAAATTTTACATTATTGCTCTTGCTATGAGGAGGAAGTAAGAAATGAAACATATCAAAAGCAGCAAGACAAAATTGCAAATTTGTTATAAACTTTTGTTTCTTTACTCACATGCTTATTGTCTCCTTGTGAACTTGAGCAACGTGAACAACCATCCCTCCCGCTGTATTTAACTTTTTACTACAATGTGGACATTTAAAATGCTTGGCTTTTTGATGTTGTATTAGAACTTTTTCGTCTTCGAAATCTCGTTCACAGTACCTTGAAAAAATGTTTGAGCTTTTAAATCTTGATTTAATTGGGCTTATAATTTCACGCATGCTAACTCACCAGCACCATGGGCGCATTACAGTCTTCTTCTTTTTCTTTCCCATTTTTTTGACTAGATGTTATTAGGGATTTATCTTTATTATTCAACTCAATCTATTTTGTACGTACAGTCCAGAATTCGATTTATGACTAATTAAAAATTTTGCATCGCGATTTTCTAGGAATGGGATACATTCGAGTCCTGACTGCCGATCTTAAAGTAGTTGTTGATGATTCAAAATCGCGTCGTTCGATATTCATATGTAATATATGACAAATATGTCTGAACCCACAACTACAACAAGATCGAAGTCGAAAATGACAAGTTTAAATTCTGCAACTACTTTTATAGAGTTTCTCAAAACTATAGGTTATCCCAACGCTTCAGAATTACTCCCTGAACAACTATTATGGGCTACTGAACAGCCCTCAGCACGCGTCTTATTAGACTGGTTATGTCAGTCCGTTGACCCTGACAAGAATGTAGTAAATAAAGTAGAGGAAGATTCAATGATATTGTATGCATCGGTCTTTTGTATAAATTTTTAATTTTTATAAAAAGGGAATTCTACTGGCCATGTTAATGTTCACTGTGCACTATTACAGGAAACAGATTGAATCTCTTGAAGCCCAACTCAATCCCTTAAGTAAACATCATGATTCATTACTAAGTCAAAAGAATCAACTGAAGTAAGTAAGTAATTAGAATGTGTTATACTTGTTATTGTATCGATTTTAATATTATTCAATATTTAATTTCTGTAAAAAAAAATATAAAAAATACCAGATTAACATTGAATAGTCTGGAAAAAGAGCTAGAAAATTTTCAGAAAATCAATTTAGATCTGGATGACAAAAATCGTGAAGTAAACCAAACTATTGAACAAGATTCAATTAAGGTATTTAGGTGAAATAAATCCTTTTCCCACTCACTTTCACGCTAATTATAAGTCTAAGCGTTAATAAAATAATAACTCCCATTCTTAAATTTTTGTTAACTGATTAAACTCTTCAGCTGGACTTGAACATGGCTGACACAGTTAATGCCGTAAAAGAAATTGTAATGGATCGTAAAATCCAAAATGGAAAAGGTATTCTTGATGATTATCAAGTCAAATAATCCGAAATTCTTTACTAATGGCGGTCGAGTTTAGATAAAATACGAAGAAATTATATATTTCAATGTTCAAATGCACTCAAAGAATTCCTGGAACATGAACAAATTTTTGGCAAAGAATTGGAACAACATTGTCAAAATCTTTATTTGCCGGTAATCAAAATCATTTTTTTTTATTCACCTTTCAATGTTAAATATGCTTGCTTGTGATTGATAAAATTTTTTTTTGATTTTAGTGTCAACAAGATTTATCCAATGGAGTTGATTTGATTGAAGAGATCACAAGATTAAAGTCCATGTAAACGACTAATCATTAACTAATTACTGCATTTTTCATCATCCTACTGTTTGGCTTACTCTTCATTGATTGATTATAGGTATCCTGTTACTGAGCAAAAATTTACAAAGGCTGCTTTAGAACACGAACGTTTACTCGCATATTTGAATATTCTACAAAATGAAATTCTCCGTATTGACGCTTATAATCCAGATTTTGAAATTCTTCGGTGAGCCTTACTACAAATATAAAAATATTAATAAAAAAAATTTTTTAAGCTTAAGAAAATGAATTTATCTAATTATATTCTCTTCTAGTTCTAAGCATCAACAAAATCTCAAATTAATAGAATCCATCAACGAACAAGCCACAGATACTCTACTGAGAATTGAAGAATATTTGTGTGTACTAGCCGAGATACAAATTCAGAATCCGATTTTGATTGCTGATAATCAGACAAAATCCGCACTTCAAATGACCATGAACGAGAATTTGGAACATGTGAGTGAAAAGTTCAAATTTAATAATGTTTGAGTGATTTGTAATCATCTCATTCCATTCTCTTATAATTCTTTGACTTAAGCACGTTTGTAGATTGTTGATTTATTGTCATTCCAATACGCACGACTTCAATTTGTGAACCAAA